TCAAATGTTTAATAATAGGTATTATATTTTCAGCACTAATGAAAGTTAGTCTGAGGTGGTTTTCATTTAGTCACCTGCGATCTGTACTGAAATTATTCAATGCGGCACAAGACATCGGATAATTTAATTACTGCTTTATAAAAAAATCTTGCATGATATTTTGAAATTATTCGTAGTATTCTCTTTTTTATATAAAAAACACAAAGCACCATCAATTATTTTCAATTTAGAAAAGTCGTCCATTATATGACTTTTTTAATATATATGCATAATATATATATATATATGTATTATAACTAGCAACATTTTTAGTGTTAGTTTATGGTTTTGAAATATTATTTTTTTTTGTTAAACACGGATTCAATTGAATTACTCTTTTATAATTTATATAATTACATAAAAAATAAGTTTGGCACAATAAATTAAGAAATATCAAATCTACAAATAATTTTATTCGATATGTACTAATATGCATTATAATTTATAGTTTATCCAGTTTAATAAATAAATAATAGATACGATTATACGAAGTCACTTATACTTACCTATAGTTAATGTAACTATTACATTTATTTATATAATTTTGTATTATGTGCTTCACCGTTAATTGTTTAATACCCACCTATATACACGTGTGTAATATTTTGTGATGATTGTAACCATATATTAAGTTTAAGCTCATGTTCGGCCAAACTGACAAGTGACAGTGAATTTATACCCTACCCAAAAATGAAAACACAAAGAACCAGAAAAAATCATGGAGACACACTTAAAATCAAGAAATCATCTCCACTTTAAGCAACGACATTCTGATTTCTGACTAAACTATCTTAAACTTCACACCCAATTTCATCATCACAACAAAAGCTCCAAAAACTGAAACAAAATCACTACCATACAAAGATTTACTTAGAAATTAGAATAATCGACCAAATCTACGCACAACAGTGAGAACTGTACAATGGACAACAAATTAAAAATGTAAAAAGAAAACCGTCCAAAAATGGAGAGATCCTACTAACACAGCTCGTTTAGTCAATATTTTTATCACTAGAGAAAGAATATTGTCCATGCGCGTCTTACCCATTCTCATATTTTCATTAAAAAAGAACAGGCAACGTGCTATCAACGTGATGTGCCACTAACGATTGAACACCTCACACATCACTGCCACTTCATGACACATTCTAAACCAACCTAACGAAATGGCTGAAACTTTAGATAAAATCAAAACAGATGATATTTATAATTTATACAACACCACCAGACATAATATGAACCTATTGTAAATAAGCATTTCAAATGTAAACACGTACCTATAGTAGGTACACACTTTTATAATTATATTCTCTAGGAATGTAAAACAACAAGTACAATTTAAACCCATGTAAGACTTGTAGGCTTCAATGACCCTCGTTTTCGAAACCTTTATTCCTAATAAGTAAAATATAACAAAAAAAATTAATATTTTATTCGTTATACGGTGAACATTTTATGTAACTCGAATTTCTATCAAGCCGTCGCTATGTTATTACTTGCAAATATATTTCTACAACAAACTAAAAATTTAAAAAATGTGAGAATAATAAAATATATTTTTCATTTGTAAAACCAGAATATTCATATGACTTGCCTATCTATTATTTATTTACTTCTATCTATTTTTTTTTCTAAACTAGATAATCGATATTGACTGGGTCTTGGGTATTTATTTTATGAAATACTTGAAGTTTCTTTCAAAATATTATAAATAATGGTTTGTTATTAAGAAATGCACATAAAAATAATTAATGAGCTTACATAGTTTTTTATAAATGTATGACTTTTGTTTTATTTGTGTATTGATAAAATATGTTTGTTTTATTAATATGTAGCCTAATAACTTTACAGAATAACAAATACTGAATTTAATACTACTATAATTTAAAAAAAAATAATGTTAGTAAGATAGGTCATGTACACACGTACTTTTAAGTTTTAATATTAGTTAACAAAACATCATAAACATCATACAGATACACTTGTAAATTATTATAAATTTGTTTTAAATGAATAATAAAAAAATTAAACAAAATATAAAACATTTATTATTGCATACCTACTTAAGTTAAATGCGAAACACAAACTGATAAACCTTTTGTGTCTAACCTAATTTATTCATAAAAAATGAGGTACATTTTTTTTTATTTACCCTATTTGAAATTCTAAACTCGGAGAGGAAACATTGGTTTTACAAAAATGTACAACTTTCTTGTTTTAAATTGAAATTCCTGTACACTCTTTTAAACAATATTCTATTCCTCTAATCTTCTTATATTTTATGATTTAAATTTTTGCAATATCAATTAAATCTTTAAAATGTATGTATGTTAATTCAGATGAAATAATATAGTTTTCTACATTTCTGAAGCATACCAACTATCAAGACAAAGTACACAAATTTGTTTCGTTTTTTTTTTTTTAATAACAAAATGCAGATAGCATAGACTTAACTATTGTTAACCATAACCAAATATCAATTTCACAAGACAAATTCATTTAAATATAAGTCACACATAATATAAGAAGGTATTTGTACTATAATTATTTAGTGATATCGGTTATAAGATTATCTCCTATACATTATTGTATCATACAAAATAATAACAATAATAATAATAATAACTGAATACCTATTCTATATTAAAACTTTATATTTTATAAGTGTTACAACAATAGATACAAATACATAATGTTCGTTTATTAACTAATAATACCCTATTATATTACAGAGACTTCCCCGGAGGACCATGAGCTATCCGCCTTGGGGGAGGTTTATTCGGAAAGTTTGTCAGGAAACCGGAACTAACTGAATGTGATGTGCACACACACGAGAAGTGATGTGATTTGTAATTGCAGGAAGAGCTAACATTACAATAGTGTGTCCATAGTTGGGTGGTATTTATATTGATAGTCAAATAGACTTTTCCGTTCACTGTCGATAGAAGTCTAACGGGAATCTTATGGGTAAGCCAATATTATTATCATGACTGAATTCGTTTGATTTACACAGTTCGGGTTCAAATCTAACGACACTCAATCGATAGCTATAAACTGACGATAATATTACCATTTCGTAGGAACTCTTACCGATCGACTCAGAGTAAATTCTACGTGTAAATTGTAAGTCGTAAAGTTCGTGTATCAATTTCTCCGGCGATAATTTTATTACACTATGTCAGTAAAACCATCAGTTTGGCGTGGGCGATCGGTTGTCAAGACGTTATAATCGAGTCTTGATACTGTCCAGTATCGAGTTACGTTCTGCGCGACTGCAGCGTATCGACGTCAACGCACGAAATGTATAGTAGATTCTCTAGCCGTTTGTTTGAAGTAATTAATATAGGTATAAATCGTAAACATAATTTTAATTATTTTAATTCCCTTTTCATCTCGTTAATTGAACGTTGCGGTTTTTAGCTCAATCGAAACATATTATAATATTGCGTATTATCCATTCCAATATAATAATTATGGTGTGTACACATGACACATATAATAATATTCACCTATATGCTTATTGATATGTCTACAGTTAAACAAATTCCGTTTGATATTAAATTAGAAATATTAAAGGGTCGTACACAAAACATTTTCCGCCAATACAAATCGTATATTATGTATTTGCACTGATACAAGGAATTTGACTTGAAAGGGATACCTCCCGGCTACCGAAACTATACATAATATATGTAGCTATACGTTGTAGTATTATATATATTTGTGTGTGTGTGTGTGTGTATTACGTAATGTATATGTACCTACTATACAAATATATTCACTATGTGATATTCATTAGCTCATTCGTGACTGAAACGGTTTTATTCGACTCCCATGATAATACATACAAAATTTATATATATAGATAGATAATATATATTTGTATATATATATACTTATTACATATACGTGGTTTTTTGTCTAAGTAAAAAAATTTAAATAATTTTATCGTAAAAACATATTTTGTATAAACTAGGTAAGCACAATATGTTATAATATTATTCCATAATAGGTAAGTAAGTACCTATGATTGATATTCAATGTAAAAATTAAGTTCATATTTATTCACCTATACTTTTACGATGTACTATAATATTTACCTATGTATTATTATTGTTAAATGCTATTGTGCAGTACACTAAAATGATCGCAAAAATATCGCAACAAAAGATATAACTATATATATTATATTTATTAGCCATTTTTATAGGGCGCAGAAAAAATGTTACGAGTAAATATAGGAAAACAATATTATTGAATTGTCATTTGGAAAAGAAATAATTCTTGTACAATTACGTTTGAGAAAAAATTGTAATCGGAAACAGTATTTAAAAAAAATTGAATACATAGGACCTTCTTAGTTATTATGATTGAGTTAATTTTAAGTGCATTCGCCACTGGCGAAAACGATCAGTCAAGTCCCGTGCACGTCGTACATCAGCACGACAGAACTGTTCTGAACAGTGCAAAAGACTACGACGCTCTGATGAGTGTGATGCGTGTGAACGGCACTAAAACGACCCATTTCAGAGCTAAAACGATTCGTTTAACCCTGCAGGGTCACTATTGAGTCTCATCGGACAGGCGCACCACATCAAAGAACGCCACTTATTTAACTGGCAACGTTACGTGGTCCTAGCTCAAAATATGGGCGGGGTGCCCAAATTGTGTGTTTGGGTATTGGACACCACTTATTGTAAGGTAACGTCACGCCATCAAAAGACAGGCAATCTCAGGACTACTGTCCGTGACATACAGTTGGTTCATCTCATCCTCAAAACTTGTAAACAATTTATGTGTTCGCAGAGATCAATAAAATATGTAACGCAATTACAATAAATTAAACTACCGAGTTTATATTATTACACGAAGCGGTCCACCGACACGTGGTGTGCCGTTCAGTATATTATTATAAATTATAATACATCAACATAATATATACAAAATAATGTTATTTTGTACCGTTGTTTAATAATGTAGAAACCATCGTATAGTTTCAAAATGTTTGTTATTGAATTTATGTTTTATTAAACGATATTATTTTTTTTTTAAATATAAAGTTACTCTCGCAGCAGCGGCCTTTGGGAGTAAAAGTTATTAAAATTGTTACAAAACTTCAATTTGGTGTATTTCAAATCAAAAATAGGTACACTGTTTATGACATTACACAATACACATATAATATAAAAATATTACCCAATACGCTACAACAATTTATTTTACATATAATACTACAAAAAATACTCCGGACATGAATATGTATTAGATATTATGAGTTGTATATTATTTGAAATGCCTATCGTTCTTGACAGCACAAATGAAAATACAATGATATATTATGTCCAGACAACTATTACAACACAAATGTATTCATTAAATTTGCTTTAAACATTATAAACTTGAACATTTTTTTTTACTAAATTGAATATAATAATATAATATGCATAAAATATTTTAAATTCTTTGAAATTATCCGAATTCGTTAATTGTAAGGATTTTTTTTAGTCCCATGCATTATTAATCTAAGCTTTTCTACTGATCCAGTTAGCCCGGTGAATAAATTAGAAGTCTGAAAAATTAAAATTTAGCATCGTATAAATTATATATACACATAATATACTCCTACATATACCTATTATACAAACACATATTTTAAGTGCTTTTAAAATAAATTACCGGTTTAAGCCTGTTTAATTAATATGTTAAAAATAATGTACGATAATTAGTCACACAATTAATTTTATTTTTGTTACTGGATACTTAATACTGGAAATACTATTATTTCTTATTAGGTTTTTATTTCTTTTCGCATAATCAGTATAGCAATACTTTTATTTTCAAATGAACCATGATTATATATTAATGTCCAAATGTCCAATATTACAATATGGCCTACATTTCTAACATAGTGTTGTGGAAATGAGATTTTGAAAATTAAACATAGATCTAGCAAAAGCAAAAATTAATCATCACAAAAAATACCATGACTTAAATGTGTCTAATTCATTGATAAAACATTAGAAAGGTGTTAACAATCTTATGAATTTTATATTGAGTACAAAACTGAGACTTTAAAAAGTATGATAGTATTTATATATTTATGTATTTTTAAGGTTATATTTTATTTTATGTGTGGTGAATTTAAAAGTTAATTACAGTGATTATAACACAAGAACCAATCATTTAAAAATAATTAGAGATACCTTCAATAGAAATTTGTTCAAAATCTTTTTGAACACTATATTTTCGTTGTTTGGAAATATATTGTAGGGTCAGTGTAATAGTGTGTTACTATTGTTATCATTTCACTATTTTTTTTATTATAATTACTCGTTAAGAGTGTTAAGACTATATGACAGTCGTCAACTATAATTACTTCGTCTTTGACAATAACCGTCCACTCTCCAGATGGGTTTTCGCCCCAAAATTGCAATGATTTTATTTTCCATTCAAAAAATCCCTTGTTGGACTCGTCTAAGCGTCGTGGCTCCATCATTTTGCACGTTGTGTCTAAAAATATAACAATTCCATAGAATATCAATAGTTTTATAGACATTAATACGTGCAGAGCGTAATAGTACTTACTTTTTGGGGATTTTAGATCTATTTCCACCATACCGCGTTTTGGATACCGAATGGTCACACATAGTTGTACGTGCTCTAAATATTTAATGTATCCATTACAGCCATTCGTTGTTACAGTGGACACAAATTTTGACGCTCGGCCAAAATATTTACACTTGATACTAAATTTGAAATTATTTTCAAATTTAAAAAAGTATATGCAATATTATTTTTTATAATTTTTTTACTATATACACCAAGTATTGTGAACCTTAAATAATTGTTTTATTTTATTTTTGCTGAAATTTAATTTCACTAATACCGGTACTATAAAAATGAATCTACGTATCAGGGTATGTATGAATTTCATAATTTCTGAAAATTTCTTACCTTTTATTGCTTTTATAATAAATATATACAATAACCATTTTATATTTAATTAACTATTATGTTTGAACTTATTTATATTTTAATAAAGTAAACATTGAGAATTTAATTTATTTACCTAATATATAATACAATTGATTCATTTCTTCAATATTTTATATTAAAAAAATTAATTAAAAATGTAAAGTGGGCTACAAAGTAACTTCTGTATATTAAAAAAATAGAATTTACAATATTTAGCTCGTGTATGTTGTAATATACATTTCCCCAAGATTGCAACCAATATCAGGGATTCCCGAGAAGGGAAATTCCAAGAGATTTGTAGCTGCACCAACTTTAATGCATACCTAAATGTCTACATAAATAAAATAATACTGCAGTAGAACGCTGTTTATCACAACCCCGGCTGAACATCAAAATAAGTAAATTTACAAATATATTATAATGAAAAAACGTCCAACCATGTTTATTTGTTTATAATAGCTGTTTTAAATACGAGAGTACTTTTTTTAATACCTCTTTAAACCCTGTATTAGTTAAATCAAAAAAAAAAAATCCTAACGATTTTGTTGTCCACATTAATAAAGAAATAGTTCCATTTTAAAATAATAAATATTATTTGTACGAATTTCACTTCAAAATGTTGATGGCGTCAAAATAAAAAAAAAATAGATTCTTAATCGAACTTACCTATAAGATATAAATATACCATGGCCTTACTATATGTAGGTATTGGATATGTATTTTTGATCAAATAATTAATGTTCTATGACTTACGGGAAATTTGTAGCACAAATACTTTTCTTTGGTACCGTGCTCCAGCCAATAGCTTCTTTCACTAACTTATAGGCGTTTAATAATCCAAAACCAAACTGGGGATTAAAATCGAATCCTGCTGCGTTAGTGGACCAACCAGAGTTTTTCGACAGAGGTGCAACTTCACAGTTCCTTACCAATAAATGTTGCACGTCTCTCCACGTCAAATTGCCACTATACTGGCCAACAATAAGAAAAATCATTTACAAAATATGTCACGTGTTTGCACATTTAGACTAATAAAATAATTTATTAGAAGGGCTATTGTAGAGGTTATGTGTTTTTTGATTAGAAAGTCGATTCGTTTATACGATGATAATACATAATAATGCGACACTTGGGGAAAATTATGCACGACAAATATATTACCCATCTATCTACTCATAGGTATGCCAAAGCATTGAAGAATAATTATTATTATTAACTTCACCAAACCTACAGCAATATTACATAGATTACAAAAGGCAAAAATTTCTATGGTGATTAAAATATACACATGTATAACATAGTTAAGTAATAATGATAATACATCTAATGATATTAAATCTTAACCTATAAGATTTTTGTCAAAATTAAAAATGTGTTTTTTAATTTTTTTGGATATTTAATTAAAAACTTAATTAAATTGTTCAGTTTCATCGTGAGTGAAAACTTTCAATGTAAATGATTTGTATTTGAACTATTTAAATTATTTAAAGGAATTTTCATTTAATGATTTCAAAACGTAATCTTCAAATGGATACTAAAAATACGTCTACACAATCTAATATTTGTTAATTTGATCAATTGTTTATACGTTCACAGTATTTATATCATAAAATACAGTATTTTTTCATAATGGGTAAATATTATTATAAAATACTTTTATCTGAAACAAAAATTACTTATTTTGAATAAATCGTATGAATCTATCCAGTAAATACCCATAAAAGTTATTATTTTCTTCTTTACTGTGATATTGAAAATCAATAGATTTAAATTTAAAAATAAGAACATTTACTTGGCTTCGAGAGCTAAAGCTATAACTCCTGCTGCTAGCGGAGCTGCGGCTGATGTGCCGGTATGTGAAAGCGTGCATGTATTATTGATATCCGACGTAACCTGAAGGATATTAAACAAACAAAACAATTTTAGTTTACTAAATATTCATAATACGAGTATTAAATGAACAAATGTAATTTGTAACAAACAATCAATCTGTATTTGTTTCTTATTGATGTGCGTCATGTTATGAATTAAAATAAACATAGATTTCCTTAAAAATCACGGGATACAAAATTATGACGAATGTACCCTTATAAAATAATATGGTAAAATATTACTTCCATTATGTCAATTTATTTGAATGAACAATAAAATGAATAAACACAATAATATTATCAAACTAGCAGTGGCTTATAAACTATACCAAATAAAATATTATAAAAATTTCTAGTTTTATTCTATAGATTTTTATATTTTGAATGGTATTATTAAAATACTGAATTGTTTAAATTCTGGATTTAATTACGAACGCATTCATAGTGAATAATTACACGACAAAAATTGACTTGAATATTTTGACGACACAACTTTGTTTAATACCAGAGTATAATGGTGTATATTAAATATTAAAATATTAGACGATAGATTACTACCAAGTACCAACTACTGTTGGAATATTAATGAGTTGACGTAATGTTTAACATTTGTATTTAACAAACAATTTAACATTTGAGTGTCTACATATTTAAGTATAAAATGTGTTGATACATTATTAAAAATACACGCGCAAACGGAATTTAGAATAAAAGCATAGCAAAAATTTTAGTAAAGCGATTTGAACGTCCTCCGTTCAACTATTAAAGAAGTTCTGTATTTTATATTATATGATCAAAACTGATATAAATTCTCATGTTTTCCATGAATATATAAATTTATAAATATTTTTTTTTTTTTATTCAACCCGCGGCGACCTAGGCTATTAGGTGATGGTTATTACTGTGACTGCGACCAACCACCGAGCCACACCAGACCCCTATAAATATATTATACCGCACGTATACAGTTATCGAATTTCAATGCATTCAATATTAGGAATTCACATACAACCTCTGATTAACTTTAAGTTTGTTTCATTTCTATTTCTTATATTTTTTTTTAAAGTTTTTAACAAGACTAAAGACTAAAGTTAATAGCGGAATGACGTATTGTCTACACAAAAGACCCTCATCGTCTCAAAATGTCTGAACCATTTTGAGTCCAATCACATCCTTTTAAAATTGTTCCTGCTACTCGATCAAGTTCGAAGCAATTTCCCAAATTTTGCATTGAATTAAAACCGTTCACTAATGCACATAATCAACTTCACTTAAGACCTTTGTCAATTAACAGACCGACGTGTTAAAAATAATTTAAATTATTTCACTTAGTTGTACAATGATTAGATTATTCTTCTGATTGGCTCGCGAAAATCGATTTTTGAGTTCCTCCCTACTACATCTCTGGCTCGCGTACTATTCTCTGTTTCAAAAGATAATAGTATCCCAGGCGGCCACAGGTTTTCATCCTGCGACGAGCCCCTTCCCCCAACCGCCTGACAATGTTGCCCAAAGCTTTAATGAACTTTTCCCTTCGAATTCCGTTGAACTTATCCATTTGAAGCATCTATCCCATTTATGACGTTCATTACCTACATGTACAATCGTCGTTTTTTTTTTAAAGATACCATGTTTCGGTTGATGTTGCCTTAAAGCAAATTAATGTGGGAGGCTAAATACCAAGGTTTAATGATTTGACTTATCTACCACAAAAAGTGAACAAAAACAAGGTCAATTTTCACCGACTTTCTCTTTGTTCACAGCTTTTTAAATTCAACCATTAACCTCAAGTATACTATATTATCTCTACGATAAATTGTAGTATATATGTATAAGCATAAATATATAAAGTATATGAGTAAACATTTTTAATTTTATTTTTACGAATAATGAATTGAAATTGTTACATTCACCAAAATAAACTTATTGTACAAATTATATTATATTATGGTATATGTATAATATAATGAATAATATAATAAATTCCAAAAACCAGATTTTAACTGCAGAATTGAAGAAAAAAAGTGTTGAGCATGCTTTGGTGAATCATCCTTTATACTAATATTATTATAGGTGTATGTATAATATATAAGGTGTAAAAAGACAATTTAATACATTTCCATTTCAATTAATGTTTATACATAATACTATGCTTACACCTGTTACACCCTGGATATATATAAACATTTGTATTGTATTAAAGTATCTCCAATCTACATAATATACCTAAGTATAAATGAAAAACCATACCCATAGGTGTTAATTATTGTCGCGTGACTGATGTTGTAACCGTTGTCGCACTTACGATTTTAACACCGTCATCCAGACCGCCGGAATAAGCAGTTGCTATGACGGCGGCACATCTCTCGGCGTACTCGGGAGCTCTGCCATCCATAGTGACACTGCTAATGGCCACGGTGTAAATGTTTCCCACATAGCCATCCGATGCGCAATTGTCGAAAAGCATACGACCATTGCCCGAGGCGAATACGTATATTGAACCTTTGCCGTTTCGACCCTTACATAACACAAAAAACGATAGCACTTAAGAGGACGCTACACCGGCATGTGTTGTCCAGTCTTACAAATGTACCTACGACATAGCAAAAACTGTTTTGGGCAGAAAAACTAACTTATACTCCCTCTGTATTCATAGTAGAATAACCAAAATTTCACAAAGCATAGGGAAAAATTTGAACTGTGTCGTAGTTTTTTTCATTATTTAGATAATATACGAAGACAATTGAAGTAATACATTTTAGAACATGAGGTTTTTTTTGTTTTTTTCATTTGATTATCAAATATCATTGTTTTTTTTATAAAAAATAAAAAAATTACAACACAGGATAAAGTATCCTTATGCGTTGGGGAATTTCGGTAATCCTACTGTAAATACATAGGAGGTAGGTATAGTAAAGTTGTCCAAGGCAAAACCATTTTTTCTATGTTAAACATTAGTAAGACTAAAGACGGAGACAAATTCCAGAAGGTATAGTCCTCTTAAAAAATATTAAATCATATATAAATACAACACCGAGGATTAATATTGTCCAATTCAATTATTACGGTGGATTGAGAGATTGTTGAACGACGACATCAAGGGTGAAAATAAAACCGTGGTACCAATCAAACCAAAGTTGATCGTGGTATGAATATTTTAATATATTTTGGGGTGAAACATAAATGTGTAAATCCATTTTAATGCTATCAGATATACGTGACAACCAAATTGAACGCGTAATTGAATTTCATCCGGAATTATTATATGGTTTTGGTTTTATTTTTTATTGGTAAAAAATATTTTACTCATATCATCATTCAACGTATAGTATAGATATCTAGTATGAATTACAATATTATAATATAATATACTATACGTTAAATATATATCAAATAAATATATTATACATAGAGAGCAGAGCCGTATTCAGAATTTTCGAGTCCCAGTGCTAATTTGTTTTGCAACCATGAGTCCCGTGAGAGGGAGAATGGACTCGGACCTTTTTTTAAGCCAATTTTGTATGGTAAAAGTGTATTATCCTTGTGTAGATATGTTTAATAATTAAATATAAAATATAATTTAACGAAGAATAATAAACACATTTTATCATTCAAGGATCGTGATCACGGTCTTTGCAGGGCTCAGTGATTTTCAGCTTATTACATGTTAATAAAATAGCTTAACAAGATTAAAATGTATATTATGAAAATTAAATATGCATCTATATAAGAAAGTAACACCCACTTCTCAGTTCTCAGAGCTATTTTCGAATGGCACTAAAAAATCCTTGACCTAACAATGAAATGACTCTAAAAGCTCAATCTAAACACACATAAAAATCTGTAATGGATATTATTATCTATAATACATTTTAATTTAATGATAATTCATTGCCTTTTTTGTGCGTGACAACACATTTCACAGCAGAAAAAATGCTTCAATTTTCAATATCGTTACTTGTTTTTGGTATAAAATTGAATAGTAATATAGTTTTGATAGGGGAATAAGTGGAGTTATAAGTAAACATTCCCAATCATTACGATATTTTTACAAACTTATAATAGTTTAATTACACATCTTTATTTTTGTTCATAGTTTTTCGTAGTTTTTTTTTAAATTAATAAAAAATTCAGACAGAAATCATAACAATATGCACAGTTCTATTATATAATTACGAAATGTTCTGCTTGAATATAATGTATACTTATTTAGATATAAATATATAAGACAACTTGTCGCATTTTATTATGAAAAAAAGAGGGTAAAATATATTATATAGGTATAGTATATATTTGGCTGATATATAATCTTAGTATTAAAATACAATAGAAAAAAAAAATAAACACTGGGTTATATTATAGCCAGCTTGTTTCTCCGAACAGAATAATATATAAAACAAATACTTCATGGGTATTTTTTTTAACGAAACTTTTTAATCCCAGCAGATTACTATTGATCTTATCGAAACTTCCGTGAGTTTCCTCTAGTCTATATTTGATTTTAGGTACATATTATATATTAAATGTTTACAATCAGTTCATTGGTAACGGTTCATTGTTAAAACTCTGAAATAATTTGTCTAAATCACTGCATTATATTATATTATTCTGACATATTTACGAAAATTCTAAAAGGTAAGGTTAGCTCGGGATCGTTTTACATCGTTTTTTAATAGTTTATTATCCACACGTGAGATGCGATAACTCTATTAGGTATATCGTATACAGGTACTTTAACGAGCCAATAGTGAATAACAGCGGTCAAACACTAAACATAATAGGTACACGTGTGTTTTATGTGGGGTATATATTCATACATTACATAAATTACACATAGATTATACACTAATAATATATATCATGTCAACAAATACAGATCGAAAAGTTAGTGGAGCTTAGCTAATATAATTTATAAAGCCAGCTGAAACATATATATTACTTTAGGTGCCATAAAAACCTGATTTTATGCAAAAAACAATGTGTTTTCTTAATTTCAGTAAAAACAGAACTAATATTAGTTGGTTGAAGCTGGTTAACACAGCTTAAGGGTCGATCGAGAGAGGTAACCAAGACATCGTCGTTTAAATAACTATTACAACTATCAGTAATTTTGTGTGTACAGTGTAATTTTTACTTGGCGTGTAAATCAGCTTTCACTAGGTAACTCATAATTTGTACATTCAAGGGTGTTTAGTCTTAATAAATTATGATTTTCAGCTTTTACTGAGTACAAACAGTAAATCCTAGCATTATCTATTAAAACCTAGCTTTACCTAGTGATCGGGTAACATTTATGGTAATATATATACATAATTTATAACACATAAATCCGAGCTCTAGTAATAACCAATAGGTAACACAGTAGTATCTACAACTATGATGTTAATAATATGATAATATTAGCACACATGCGTGCAACCAGATTATCACGGGGATATATAGACTTTTAAACGCCGCCGACGTCGCTGTTTTAGGATAACTACACTGTTATACGATCCTATGTAGGTTGTAGATACATGATATATGTGTAATAATATTTCGGCCGAAAAAACAATTCGGTCAATCCCAGTCCCACGCAGCTGCGGTTCTCTGGGGGACCACGGGTTTTTGGGTGTCTGCCAACAGTGCAGAACCACTTCTTTAACTACTATACGGTATTTAGGTGTACAACGCGTAATAAATAATATAATATATTATTATAACTGAGAGAGCCGGAGAGCCGTTTTTCTGTGGATTAAAAATAAAAACGTATAATATCGTCGCGTAGTCGTGCCACGACGGATCACTACGTCATAGACGATAATAATAATTATAATAATTGTTTCATGAATATTACGATACCTCGGCGGTAATGTGATTGATTGCTGTTTCCCTTTGTTTTCTCATCCTGGCAATCGATTAGTAATTCGTGCTGTGGAACTCACGATGACGATGACGCCCTCGTAGTTCGGGATCCAGATTAAGTGACGATTTTAGTACAATGCGTGTCGTGTAGTAAACGCATACGAAGCGTCACACGAGTATTATATTGGTATACTAATTTAATATGCCAAGGTAATGGAATTTATATTATCCTATACCGTCGCCCAGACTTTCAATGGTAAATCTCAACAGGACACTTTGCGCGAACAAACGTCGTGATGCAGAGCGATCCATTAAACGGGTGCCACACAGATTTCGAAAAACCTTGTCAGATAATATTATGTATTAGAAATACATGTTATGTATTTTAATATTTTGTGTGTACAAATACTTTTTAAAATCACATAAAGAGTATTATATTTTAAGAGAAGGATTAATATGAAATAAAGAAATGTAAAAAGTATAAAAATAAGTTCTGATTTTTATAAAAAAAAAATAATTAAAAAACATAATATCTCAAAGGAATATGAACAAAAAAGCTATTTGTGTAATAAAACGTCAAAAACCAAAATACCTATATAAATATAGAACAAACCACTTCAGAGGAATTAATATTACGGTACATGGAAATGCTTCTATTTCAACCATGGGTTATATCGAAATTATGAAATAAATGTATTGAAAACATTAAATCTTATATTTCATACAGTTTCGTTATAAAAAAAAAAAACATTTTAACAATATTCATATCGTAAAAGTACTACTAGGTACAAAATACAAGTATAATAATGACGTGAATATTAACACTCTGAGTGGATCATATATGATATAGGCGCTAAAGTTATAACAATTTGGCTACTTGTTTACTGCGAAATTATAATAATCATAATATCGCATATACGATGTATATAACTATATCTACGATTAATTATTCAACACATTGTTTAAATAACCTTTATATCATATTTGTATCACCGATATTACATTATTATAGTTTATAATCGTGAATTTGAGAACCTAAGTTACAACATATTTGTATGAATTATATGACTCCATTAGCTCATAAGCAGAGACTTCGGGGCAAAATGTGGAGATATGAAAAATGATCATTCAAACAACAATAACTTAATGTGTGCGATAGTATAGATGGAATATAATACCAGCAAGGTAGCCTATATTGGTAAATGCAATTTAAATTCTACGGTCTATAGATAGTATTTATCACGTTTAAACTATATATATATATATTGGTTGTAGGTACAATAAATTCAGCATAGCATTTAATAAATTTTAAGCAGATACTGAGTTACGCTTTATTTACATTATATTATATATTGCACGATAGTTTAATTATGATAAATAGCGGAACTAATGTCGAGTATGCAACTAATTATATCTACGAGTTACGACACGTTAGTATTTCACGTAGATGAGTCGAAGTGAGTTAAAATAATTTGTTTATTACACTATTATTAGTTATTATTACAGTGTACCTACCAACGCTATATTATATTACAAACTTTCGTGTCATAAGCGTTAACACTTTATTTTAATTTGTTTTAACCGTATATACGGTCTACCTAAACACATTTGTTCTCTTTGTATAATAATTCCTCACGCTGTGTAGTTACGTAATCAGCTCTCGTTGAAATAATTTTACCTCTGCGAACGCGTTAAGCGGAAATTTCGCAGATCTCAAAGCTTTTTAACCCCCATCAAATAGTCTTGAATAAATTATTTATTTTAGTTAGCAGTTCCGCCGATCGGATCATAATATTAGATATAATATGCGTATTGCGATTACCTTGGTTGCGCCGATTTCAAATGCAATTTGCGCCATTACTCCAGGCCCGTCGACCATTAGTCCATCGTCAGTAGGCCCCCATGATCCACTGTATATATCCACCAATGAATTAGCGTTAATTAAGGCTCTAGCTTCCATTTCGTCATTTGTTTTACCATCGAGCAATACGATACCTACACAAATTCATCATATTACAGAAAAAAATTATTTTTCGTCTGCGTTTCCAAACTCTTAAAACAAATTATTTTTATACGTATATTATATTTAATACAAATAATTTTTCATCACTCAACATAACAATAATATCTGGGAATTAATGCAGTAACCAGCAAAAGGGGAGGAGGGGGTTTAAAGTACAGATATATTTTTTTACTAGAAGATTTTAAAATTTCAATTTTAATTTGTTAATTTCGGGGGGGGGGATTGAGATCTGGACCCTAAACCCCTCTGCCTGGGAATATTCATAATATAAGGTAAGATATCATATCTATTTATGATGATAAGATTATCACCAGTTAGGAGTTCAAACCCACTTCCCAAAATGTTTTCAGCTTATATTATTTTTCCATCATCATTATCATGTAAGATTAATTTGAACAATATTATATACATATGTGCAATTTATTTTGAAATATTAATTTATATTTAACGAAAAAAATAAGGTGTATTTTTTGTACTATTATGTCCTTTTATGATATTTTTTCTGTATTTAGCCTTCCTATTAGAGAATACAAAATAAGTTCAGCAATGACATAAATTTGAGCCTGGACTTTGTTACGTTGGATATTATTAGAAACATGTGACACTGATCCATAAACTAAAAATTATTTTAGTACTTTTTATGCGATAGCTATTTGCTTCCTGTATGAATTCACGAATAAAAACAGCCAACGAGTTCTAATTTTATAAATACTTTTTTTATTTTCTTACTTAAAGAATATATTTAATGACGTAATTATAGTGCCAAATATCAATGAATGTAAAATGAATAAATAATATTATTATTATGTCGTTCCGTATATACCTTTGTCTCAGTTTGACAGTTCTGGATTATAATGGAAATGGTTAAACTAGAAAATCATAGTTATAATAGGTGGCTTAAAATAATAAATTCATGAACGATCATACCATATATATAGTCTAAATTAATTCAATAAAATCCCACTGCGATAATACCACTTGATAATAATTTAGAATTATATCACAGTACAATATTATATTATTATCTTAGTTTGGTTAATAACTGAAAAAATAAATAATTTAAAATATGCTTACATACAATTAGTTAATTATAAATAAAATAAAATGATTTAAGCTTAAAAACAATATAACTATAAATTCGAAACACTGATTTTGCAATTTTATTAACTCAAAAATGTATTTTCCATGGTGTTTAAGTACAAATAAATCTTGACTACGCCAGTACCAATATTTTTATGTATATATTTGTGGTGATAAATTATTTATTTTACACACACATTTATCAATATATACCTATAAGTTTTGCGTTGAGCGTTTTTTAAATGTAATTTTCGAAATGGATCTTTGTGTCAGTGTGTCACCAACAATTTAAATGGTTTGAACAATTGTTTAAAATGTGATCAAAAATAGTAAGCGTATTTACATTTTACTGTGGGTAATAAATAAATAAAAAACTATATTATTCAACATTATTGTATCAAAAAAATAATCCAAAAATAAAAAATCCAGGTGATTTACTAATACTTTAACATAGATAGTGCAGTTTTATTTTGTTTTTTTTTTATATGTACATAGATCTAATATTCTGGTAATCTTCCAAAACGCCTAAGACGAAAATCATGTAGGGGGACTTGTTAAACTAATATATATAAATTAAAAGTAATAAAATAAATATACACATATATAAGTGTCGCCAATAGATGACTTTTTTCGTCAAGTTATCCATGTATAATAATAATTTTACTCAGTGCCAACTTGTTTTGCACCCAAAGCCTAAAGGTGAAAATTGTGTGTATTGCAAACAAACATTCTTTTAATGTGCGTATAGATAGAAATAGTGAATACTGACATATTATTTATAACATGTATTAATAAAGTAACACGAACAACACATTTTTATACGTCAATTTCCATAAAGTTCAGCTCTATGAACTTTAGATTAAATGTTTGGTATATTTATGTTGACAGTATGTCTGTAGAGAGACTTACTATTACAATTTACAACAGTTGCAAACTGTGATGAGCGAACAACAAAAATATATATACGTATACACACAGTACATCAGATTTACCTACATCTCTCGGATACACGAATGCGGGACAAGTTTTTTTTCGCAATATTTAGTATGATAATTATTAATTATATACCAGAAATATCGTCAACATTATGTAGCCCTTCAAAATTCAAAATAATACGATTAAAAATAATATTTAATACGAAATATATTGTATATGTATAATATGTTTTCCGCCCACCACAGTACCACTAAATGGTTTTAAATTATTTTTGGCAAAACTCCACAGTGTCATAACGTGGCGCTTGTAAGTATAACTCTGCAACATAGCATCGTAGACCTAGAGATTTTAAATATCATGGTTTATGGTATACTGGTGTATTATTTTAAGAAAAACAGAACACATAATAATTAAACCACTGATGCGCATTCGTACGTGCACACTGCACACAGAATATTAAGCTTTAAACGTGAAATTATAATATTCATTGCACCCGCCGCACCCTATTTGTGAAGTCTGTGGTCAGCAATGACGTGGCCCATTTGTATGTAAAATTAATGTGGTGGTCGGTTGTAGTCATACAATGTCCCCAAATAATATCAAAATAAACAGTTGCAATGGGTATGTGCACAATGTTCTCGATGTTTTTGAAATAAAACAGACAATAATATAAACGATATTTAGTACAATATACGTTATGCAGCCTGTGGGCAGATTTCGAGATTTTGCATTCAAATTTGTAAAAGCACAACTTAATTCAAAGTCCATTGTGTTCGACTTCGAAAACCCTCGATGAATGCTATGAATGAAACTATTTCTTCCATCAATAGAAAAATTTGTTTTTATGGGACATAATGGACTTCAAGATTAATATTGTAACTTTCGAATTGTATTTATATTACAAAGTCATATTGTAACAACGTTAGCTTATATATTGCTAAAAATAATGTGATGTCGTTATATATTAAACCCCAACTAATTCAGTGTGTAGTTTTTTAATCACAGTTTTATTTATTTACATATTTTATGCGAAATTGTTTTCATTATATTCATATCAATTAATTGCATTATATTATTATGTTATTACAATATTATAATATTTGTAATTTGCATATACTTGCGACATGATTAATTAATACCACGACATTTTACGTGAGTTAAATGAAAATGTTAATCTACCGAAAAAAACTTCAGATTGAAAAATATATAAATAAACTCAATAAACATTTAATTAAAATTATAATAAATAATAATATTTTATAATTGAACACCAACCTCCTACTTTTGCATTGTAAGCAACACCTACGCCACACTTTGTATTATTTGCAGCCATTGCAATTTCTCCAGCACATCTAGTACCATGAGTATTTGTAGGATCTTCGTACCTAGGCATAGGATCCTTTTTATTCCAGTTTAGATTGATACTGATTTCTTCATCCTAAAATAAACATTTATGATGTAATTAACAATAAAATTAAATAATATTTTGATAAACAAGATTAAAAAATAAATCAATTTAAAAAAAAATTATATTTTTACTAAAAAATTACAAACACATTATAACTAAAGAATGTGCATTTTAATTAATTCTTAAAATACATTTAAATTTTCATCAAAACAAAATATTAGCAAACAGCCATTATTAACGGCTTAAAAGTAATTTCATTATTATTCAAATACATGAGAATTAATAATCTTTTGGGATTGGTATTTCGTATGCAGTTGAGGTGGTATTTTATCTTGTAGGACTGTTGAAATAAAACCTGATGAAAGTTTAATATGAAATATTAATGACTGGTTCTGACTTACAGAAGTCATTTTTAAATTCATATATTTACAGTTCAAAGTATTCCCACGAATTATAATATTTCACATGTATAATATACGCTATAGTCAATAAGTAATATTATACTCAAAACTTCCAAGTAAAACTGTAATATGAAGGGACATCTTACCACGGTTATAAAATCATAAAATAAAAATAGTACCTATATGTTTACTGTGGATTAGCAAATTAAATTTTTTTTATAATAGTAATATGTCACGCTGCAGGTTCCCTGAAAATATTTTCTTAGAAAACTCCTTTTAATACACTCCAAAAATGTCGAGTTCTCGTGTGTCGTAAAGACGTAGAATAGGTGGGTTGTGAGTGTATAGTGTATACTATTCAATTGTAAGTGTGTCGAAATAATGTAAATACAAGTGCACAATCCCTAGAGTTACACATTTGTTTAGAAAAATATTTCTACCTCCAAAATCCGAAAAGGATTACTAAGAAATGTTGAATAGTTGAAAATAGTTTTTACAACATATAGTTACAACCGCTTTATATATATATATATATTATATAGGTACTAAATGGGCAAAAATTACATTTCTACGCGTCATAAATGCTGTTCATTCCGCTCAAATAGTACAAAATAGCTTATACCAGCGCGGTCTGTCAATCATACCGTTTTTGGTTTTTAATGATAATTCAATTTTTTATCGCAATAATATGCCGAGATAACGAACAGATAACGTACGCTACTGCATTTGCATAAAATCGTTGTAACAATATCAATAATACAATTCTTTAATTATACGTAAAAACTATTTTGTATGCGTATAATATCGTTCGAGTTTTTAAGCATAGGTACATTATTGCACACAGTATTATATTTTGTTAGCAAGTATTAATAAAACTCATATTATATTTTATGCAGTATAATATGTAATATAGGTATGTCAATAAATTAGAAAAAGTGATATTTTTTAGCACGTTTTTATGATACATGTCAATAAAAAATGTATGATATTATTCCCCACGTCCTTCTCAGAAGTCACATGCTGAATCGGTAAAATTAAATTTAAACATTTATATGATTAATAATGGTATTTTTTCAAAATATGGCACTGCAGTGTCTATGAAATATAAATCTTTATACATTATTTGTCTAATGTGCTTTTATTTATTTAAATTAATTTATCCGGTGCGGAATATTCTGGTATGGTTCTTGAAAAATTAAGATAAATTACATATGGGAGTACCCATTAAAAGTTTTGTATTTTATCAAAAACTATGAATAAACAACAAATTCGTATTCACCTGGGTTAATTTATAACTAACAATGTTTGATATTTTATTCATTAAATTACCATGATATGCATAAAACATAATTTGTAGGAATTACAAAATATTAATAATTTTAGGGAAGTTTTTTTATAAACGAATTGTCGTTTACAATTTTACATCTGTGTACACATTTAAACACGCTTATGTTATATTTTTACGAATAAAAGTAAATCAAATGGCATGTAATTACAAAAAATGAGAATATTATTGTGATGTACATAGTTTAATATTAAGTGAAATTATTATTTTCATTATAAATATTTGATTAAATATCATAATAATATAGTGCTATGTATAGAATTCATATACTTAATAAATCAAAAATAGTTTGCATCAATTTAATGTTAATTTGTAAACGTTCAAACATACAACTATTGCTAAACAAATTAAAACAATTAATAGGTACCAAATATAATATTCACAATGAAACATACTTACATAATTGTCCTTGAGATCATCGTGAGTATGTTCTATTCCATCATCAATAATCGCTACCCGAATGCCTTTACCTGTGTATTTTAACTCTTCGTATACTGGTACTAAGTTCATATTTAGAGGCATTCCGTTGGTATAATTTTTTCGGTAATCTTGCTGAAATATATGTAATAATATTATCAAATAACGTTAGAAAGTCCTAACGAAAATGTGTTTTACAAAAAGAAGTCTCACGAGTGATGGGTGGATATGCGTTGTATATTTAATATTATTGTTATGACGTATATCATGATAAAAGACCCAAAGCAATTTCTCAGGCATGTACTGAAAAACATCATTTCTATACAGAAGATTTATATTATATTCCTTACTATGAACATTTTATACTTTTGTCAATAAGTAGGTACCACTAGGTAGATATAATATCGAAAAATATATAGGTAACATTTATTTTCTTATTTTTATTTTGAAAAATTTGAATAAATCATTTCTATTATAGAAATATATAATATAGGTATGTTACAGTTATATTATATTAGTAATAAAAATTTTAAATACAAAAATTTTTTTCATTACACATGTTTTTATTGCCCATATGTAAACTGTATAAAATTAAAATATATTTAAAACTGTTAACATTTCTAATGTATAGGACATAGCTGTAAGAACTAAGAATTGTATGTATCCGTAATTATCTTATTGTGTTTAGATGATTGAACTCTCTCGTTTTTTAGGTTTTATCGACTAATGAGTATTTAAAAAATAAATATAGTCTCTTTTATAATATATACTATGATTCCTGATCACATCGATGAAAAAAAAACCATTAAAATAAAATCCAGAGAATAATGAACGATTTATGATTTAATGAATTTCAATGAGCAAAATAAAACGATTATACCTACCTCGTACCACTGCATTTTCCAAAGTTCGTCGTTAAAATAACTCTCATATCTGCTGCGGACGTCCGTCGGCACTCTTTTATACAAGTTTTTCGAAAATCCCTGTTTAGCCCAATTCACCTAAAAGTTTTATCCATTTTACTAATCGACATATATTATACGCAGAACTGTATGAACCAAATTTTAGCAATCCATTATCATTATGACATGAAGAGAAGTTGAGATGCAGGATTATAGGTTAGCCAAAGTGGAGTTCATGATATATATTTTATAGTTTATTCGTCAAAGGGATTAATTGTAGAAACGATCTAAATGTTATACCTAACCTAAAAACATGAATTAAAAATAAACTTAAGTTAAAAATGAGTAGAGAGAGTCCACAGTAATATAAACAATAGAGATTTTTAATTTGAAAAATACCTAGAAACAAATTTTAATGGTATATAATATACTAATACGAGTATAATGGCGGTTTTAATTAATTTTCTAGAGGCGTCCAATTGGTTATGTATTAATTTATGTGTGATGTGTCTTCGACGTCACTCAAAATAAAAATTAAAAAATGGTAGCTTTATAGAGTCTATGGACTCTAGTATATAGAGTAATGGATTAAAATGTGAGACATTATTATACTTGTTGACAATAGAACAGTAGACATTATTCAGTTATAAAAATAATAGTGCGTTTTCTCGGATTGTTATTGATAATACCCATGAATTATTATTCATTAGTTTATCAACTCATTAGTCATTACTGTAGGTATATAGGTACTTAATATTATTATTTATTTTATTAGGGTCATATAAAGTATATAATATAGGTATGTGACATAGTTTAAAAATTAAGACAACTATAATAATACTTAAATAATTTTAAAAATGTGTGGGTTTAAACATTACTTTTGAAAATAATAAAATATAATATGTATAAGGTGAAATCATATTTTTTTCCTATTATACGACACCGAGTTCGTATAAAATATACATTTAGTAATCATCGACATTTTTCATTGAAAATATGAGGTGATCAAAAAATTGATTTGTTCCATACGGCGTACAATCTAATGTTTCCAAGATGTTCATCTTAATTTTTCAAGCAATTATATTATTAATCTACCATGGGTTTAAATATTTTAGGGAATATTCAATAAACTTAAATACAATATGATTGTACAATGTAAAATAATATGTAGGCACTAAATATAATATACTTAAGTATAATAAGTTGAATATTATCCATTGTTCAATCCCTGACATTTTAAATCTAATTTTTTATTTAGTGAAATGTTCAGAACATAGTATTGTGATAAAGACAGAAACATATTGACTAGGTAGTTCGTTGACAATCGTGTCACCTTAAAATTATTAAAAGTAATAACGTATGAAAATCCATTTAAAAATAGTAGTATGTTTGCATTTATTTTAGTATTTTGACGTTTTTTAATCAAATCTACGAACGATGAATAAAAGTGATGAATACGAATACTAAATTATTGTGATAGAAAATATATAGAATACGATTCGATAAAAAAAAATATTACCATTTATCATATTTGTTATTTATTTGTTATATTTTTAAATAATATGCATTTTCTTTGTATAACATGAACTATAGAATGCATTGTGTACATGTTATACCTTTGATGTTAACCGTTAAAATAAAATGTCTAGAAAACATTTTAATAGTTATAAGTATTAAGAACAGTTATTATTATAGGTACCTACCTACAATGTAATAAAATTAATATGTTGCAAATTAAAATTTCTGAGAGGTCGCTTTACAACAATAATACTCTTTTTAAATTCTCTAGTAGGATGTATTTATCCAACTAGCCACGTTAAATTATTTAAATTCAAACTGAATGTTTTGTATACAAATATTTTGTAAGGACGACAATTACTGCTTAAAATGCGAAAACAAAAGAATTCAACGGATGTGCGTGATATGGGTGTGAAATCTAGAATAACGTAATAATAATTCCAAGGTTTAAAGGATTTTTTCACAAAGTATACTTGAAGCAAAAAAGTCATTTTATCATGAATAACTGTAATATTATATATACCTACCGCGTACGAGCGTATATTGAAATTTTATAATAAATATCCAAAAAACATTTAATACTTTTTCTATTTTCAAGTGACACACTGTATTTGTAACTCATATGATATCTAACATGATTATAAATTATAATTGTAATTATATTGTAGCCGAATGCTTAATTGTAGGTTACAGTATTACTATACAGGTATTGTTGTTTTTGATAAACACAAAAATTAGTTGCAGTAGTTGAATAACATAAATTTTAAATTTTAAATTGACATTTCTTCTAATAAATTATTTTTACTAATCTAAATCTTTATAAAAACACTATCAATCTTTAAAATTTTGAAAAATTATATTTCAATGAATTGATATTACACTAGTAATTAAGACCTAAGTTAACTTGGGACCAAAATAACAGAAATAAAAAAATGTATGAATAAAAATGCTATACATTTTTGTACCCATCAAAAAATTTTTTTAACACAGTCAATATTGTGTTTAACATTGATTAAGTAATTAAAAACCCAGTCCACAAAGTATTTTTAAAAAAAAACAGAGATATCCTTGTGAAACTTTTATATTAATTAAGTCAATTATTGCGCTATTTTTCAACATTTTATTTTTAATTAAAAAACAACTAAATAAACAAAACAATATTATAATAAAATGTGTGTATACCTTATTATTCTGTTTTAAAATATTAGTTGTGTTATGGAATGGCTCGTGATGGATTTCAGGATGATCTTCTCTTTTCACTTTGTAAACATTTGGTATACCATCTACCTAATACATTTGCATTTTATTAACAATCTTAAGCAATAACATGAAGCTAAAAATTAGAGAACACTTTTAATATTTTTATATTAAAAAATAATTAAATTATGATGTGCCAGATGGAACTGATAGTTCATAGTGCCAATCATTGAAACAATGTGCAATTTTAAAATAATCATTTGTATGAATAAACAATTATTGTTTAGATCTTATGCATACAATAATTTACAGTTGGTAATAATACAAGTATAATACTAATACAGACAGATTTTAAGAGAAAATCCCATACCCGCGGATTCATAGAATAATGGGCTGGGAAAATAAGTAAAAATGGGTCGCACCAGACATAATAACTTATCATAAATATACCTCCTCAAAATATATTTTTATTTAATATGTACAAAAAGTTGGTATTTCGTTTAGGTAATATACGCAGATGCATCTATGCAACATATTGTGTTACTGTACTACAACTGTTGTCTATTGGTGTTTCAAGTCCCCGAACCATAAAATATAAGACATAACCAATAATCACGATTTTAAATAAAAACATAATACTATCAGTTTTCACGTATTATTATGAATTCCCAATTTTCCCATAGAGACATGTATAGCGAACACTTAATATTTATTACCCATCCACGCTACCTGTAGGGGTATGGTCATTGATCTTAAAATATATATGTTACGGTCAAAAGCCGAAATCGGGCAAACCTCAGAAATGCCCGGGCAAAACGCGAACTGCCCACAATCCTTGGGCAAAATGTCATATTTCGGCTTTTGACCGGGCAAACCTAGTTATGACCAACCTCATTTGGGCAAAACCGTATACTGACTTTTATCGTAATGGCAAAACCGTAGTGTCTTATATACGTTCTATAATATTAAATATAAATAGTGATTTTTGTCGTACGAATTTATTACGATTATAAATGACCCCACGTATCTTGTTAATTTATCGTTGTTATCGTATTTTATCAACTCGTTACCTATATTAAAGGTACACAAAATACACCTTATCTAAATGATACAATATTGTACCGTAGTTAATATAGTTCGTATTTTTGTGAGCTTATATTAGTACGTCTTTAGCAATGGCTAACGTAATGTGTGTGTCTGATTTTAAAACTAAATTTGAATTAAAACTTAAAGAAATTACAAAAAGTGAATGCAGTGCTCTAATAAGCGATACAAGATATGATGAACTCATAAAAGAGGTAGAACAAGCGAAGGTCAATTCCAAGAAAACAACGAGCGAATACAGGAGACTAAATAGATTTGACGTACTCACAATCGGTGAGTCTAAAAAATTAATAGTTCCACCAAGTAAAACCAATGGTGACATTATTTATTTTGTAAAATGCAATGAAATGTTCGATATATTACACATGGCTCATATAAATTGTGGTCATGGTGGTCGAAACCGAATGGAGCATTCAATAAAACAAAAATACAAAAATATTACCAGGGATATAATTGTATTATATTTACAGTTATGTGAAATATGTAATAAAAAACACGCTCATCCCAAAAAAGGTTTAGTAATAAAACCAATTTTATCTAAAACTTATAATTCTCGTACACAAGTCGATCTGATAGATATGCAAAGTAATAAAGATGGTAATTTTAAATTTATCTTGGTTTACCAAGACCATTTTACTAAGTTTGTTTCTTTGCGACCTTTAAAAACAAAAACTGCAAGCGAGGTTGCATACAATCTTATAGATATTTTTTGTATATTTGGAGCTCGTAATAAATTCGTACGACAAAAATCACTATTTATATTTAATATTATAGAACGTATATAAGACACTACGGTTTTGCCATTACGATAAAAGTCAGTATACGGTTTTGCCCAAATGAGGTTGGTCATAACTAGGTTTGCCCGGTCAAAAGCCGAAATATGACATTTTGCCCAAGGATTGTGGGCAGTTCGCGTTTTGCCCGGGCATTTCTGAGGTTTGCCCGATTTCGGCTTTTGACCGTAACATATACATGTATAAATATATATTATAAAATCAATGGTATGGTTAGATAACTTATAACTAGGTTGTGTAAAACTATCGACATTTCTTATCGCTTATCAACCTTAACCATTGAGGCACACGCCGTATGACAAAAACATATTTAAAATATTTAATATTTTCTGGTATAATTTATTTTTGATGACATTGAAATTTAGAATTCATTTATTTTTTCTGGGTCTCCACAACAGTGTTGACCTTCGGGACACGCCCTGTCTCACTCCCTCAAATCTCAATCCAGGCTTGGATAGTACACTAAAATCGAATTACGATCAAAAAAAAATTATATTAATGAAAAATGTACAATAATTGTTTGTTTAATTCCTTTCCTCAAAACTCAAAAGTTTTTTCTTTGAATTTAATTGATTGCTTAAGAATATGAACATGATATACTACTGTGATTTAAAAAAATGTAAATAATACAATTATTATTTGAATTATTATTGCAATATTGTCACTATCATTTTAATATTATTCAAAAAAACTTCAAACGTTACAAAACATATCTAACAAAAAAATGTCACTACCTTATCGAGTACCTATCACACTCCTAACTGTAACCGTTTTTTTATTTTTTTTATTTTAACCAATAATAATACAGAAAACATTAAACATCAATATGCATGAATAATATTTATCAATGATTATAATTTAATTAGCTTAGCTTCATGAATATGTAATAATTCAGACCACCGTAATAATTATAACGTAGATAGGTACTATATAATGCAAAATGTATTTCGTACTTTATATTAAATGTTCCATAATACATTGTATTTTAAATAAAATTATATTTAATTTGAATTTTGTGTTCATTGTCCGCATTTTTTTTTTTTATTTAATAAATTTAATTACCTTTCAATACTTCGCGTTCCTCTTATATACTTAGAGCCTTAACAAATAACTGTGCTTGTGTTACACAAGTATTACAGTTTCGTTTTTAATGTGTAGCGTACTGTACTCTGCTGTGTACATAGTTAATTATATTTAATCATAATTTAATTTTTTAATCTCACTGGTTGTGCAAACGAAAATCCCTGCTGTATTATGGTTTCGTGTATTTCATTCAGATCATCAGTGGAATGGAAATACCATACATTTGAATAGTGATTCACGTCGTTTTCTCCATGATTCTACGGGGGAAAAAAAGCGATTAATTACTGTTGTTATTTTATTTTAAAAATTAAATATCAGATATGAGCTATTAATTACATTGGGAAGTAAAGTGATGGTACGGCTTAGTGGGTATTCTATACATTAATAGTACCAATACAAATACCTGCACTTTTGAAATAAGACTTCCTTAAATTAATTTTCATAACATAAATGCTTGTTTTGATATTAAAACGGTGTTTACACTTCATGCAATTAAAAATAATGATGAATTGTTTCCAATATGCTTTTAGAGGAAAGTTAGATATAATAACTTAAATTGAAGTAGGTACTAATAGAATTTGTATTTGATTGTTACTTTATTAAAAAACTTAAAATTACATTATAAGATTATCTTGTACTCCAATATGGGTAACTACTATTAACAAACAGTATTTAAATTATATTTTGTATTCTTGGGTTTTAAAATGAATTAAAATTAATGTATGCATGAAGCAAGCTTTGTAAATACAAAAAATGTGTATTTAGGAAATCGTGTTTGTATAAAAATAAATAAATAATGACTGGTGCAGGGGGTTTGTAGATTGTACCTCTTATAAGAATTTTGCGATTTTTTTATCATAATGAATAGGTAATTTTTTAATGATTTCGTATTATCAAGATTTTAGACGTTATAATTTAATACTGACTGCCGATCAGTGAATATAATATTAATAAAGTATATAAAATGAATAATTATTATTTTACACCTATGTATTTCGATATAAACGAACCATAAGTACACTTTTTTGATTTTAATCAAAATGTATGAGGAAATGTATCGACAAAAAAAAAGTTTAAAAAACAGCTAAAAAATATATTGCTAGGGTAGTACATTCGCGCAAAAACACGACAATGATTAATGGACGAGTAAAATTCTGTCATGCGTTTTGTAAAATGATTAAAATTATGTAACTGGGTATGCAGTTTTACGGATACAGAATGTGTACCTACTGCTGTGAAACGACAAGTATTAAATATTATTGTTGTCCGACGAAATTATAATTGATATCGGTGACAATAATTCCTTTGTCATTTGATGTTTTCAATTATTTCTATAAAATCGGATTTACTCTTTTATATTTACTTATAACATTCGATTAAACACTTAGTTTACATAAACATCGATGTGCACAATTATAATAATATCTACACGTGTGTATTATATATTGGTATAATAGGTACATATTTATTTATTTATTAATAAAGTATTTATGAATAATAATATACCTACTATGATGCTTTCGGTAAAGTTATGGACTAACCCACAAATGTACAATGTCTGAGTTAATGGCATTAATAGCAACCATACACCATATAATTCAATTCATAAACGGTCTAAACCACCTTTATTTAATTATATATAATACTTGTATTACCCGCATATTTATGAGTGTGTAAATGTCTACTCAAAATTGTAAAATAATATAAAAAGCTTTTTTTTTTTAATTGTACTCCCTGTTATAGTAAATTAATTACGTTATAATATATTATTGACTATACAAATATTTTCAAAAGATATTTATTATTGTTGATAAAATATTTTTATTGTAAAAAGTTCTAAAATAATTATTGACATTGTATATTTTTTCTACACACAACGTAACGAAATAACGTATTGCGCATATTGTAAACTGTTGCTTTTAGATTAATGTTGTCGTTTTATAATGATGGTAACTGACCTGTACGTTATAGACAAAACTGTCTCATTTTTTTTATAGTTGATTTAAATTATTTATATTTTTAGTGTTAATATTTCTAACATTAAAATAACAATTGTTTCAATTAATTTTATATTTTTGTTTTCATACGTTGAACACGTAATTTTAAATATAAAAATACCTTTGTTCTTTTGAATATTATAAAAAGCAGTATTAAACATCATATTATCAAGCTTAAAAGAAAAATTGTCTTGAACTCCTCTAAGGGGTGCATTGAACTTATAATGAGTACTATAATACGATTACGTATGTATATATGACATACATTGTCAGGTATGAATAGAAATAACTACAAAGACTAAATCATCGCCATGAATATCCACTTTAGAGGATTGATGTGAGCCTTTAAGGCTTCATTATGATATAAAAACATTGGATTTTTATAGTAAACAATGTACGTAAAACCAATAGGTAGTATATTAGTGTACAATATTTATCTGCAGTGATTAACTGTAACAAAAATTATGTACTAATATTTGACAATATTTAGCCTTGTCGTATCCGGATATGAGTACATTATTATTTTTTACCCACATGGCTATATTTCTTCGGTAAGCTGTAGTTGCGACCAATGTAATAAAGTTGGCCACAACTACATGGTACACCGCCAAATACTGATCATAACGCGTCCGACTAGACATTTTTTTTTAAGCTCCTGTTTTCGAATATTTTTAACATATTAGGGGGCCATATTATATTGTTAACTTTATTGTATATAATATTTTTGGACAATAAAGCAAGAAATGTATTAACTTTGCAATGATACCAATTTATTTTATATTATTTTATATTGTTTAATCAGCAAACGTTTTGTACGAGAATAATAGCCTGTAAGATAATTTTGGCTGGTCATTTTTCGACATTCCCAATATTTTCTCTATAGACCGAACAATACTATCAACAACCAGTGATCAAATTGGAGAGGGGCATTACCAAAAATTATACGATTTATACTTACATGGTGTACTAATAACTCATGAGGTTCGATTAAATAATTACCAACGACGAAATATAAATATTCACATGCATATATTAATCCAATAATTTCCTTATTCGTGCTCATTTCTGAAAAAAATGTAATTAGATAATTTAAATTCATAACTAAACGTAGGTTCTTAGATGTTTCATTTATTACATAGTCAATAATACATTTTTATTTTTTATTCTTTTGAATTATTTAAAAAATTTTCAATAATAGTATAATATAGCAAACATAAATTCACTTCCTAATGCGTTAAATTATGTCGACAGAGAACATTTTCATCAGTAACCAAACTGTAAGATTTTATTCTATTTCATGAAAATATTCATTGCTAAAATCCAGAAGTATTAATCTTAACCAACATAATTTAGGAAAAACATTTTATATTATTGTTGAAAAATGTTATCATTACAGTCCAAAGCCTCAAGATTATTTTTAATTAAACAATCTTTAATAAAATCATTAATCAGTAGACACTAGACAAACCTTTTTTTGGCGCACATTTAATCTAATTTTGAGTTATGTGTATGTAATCCGTCATCACACTTGAATAATGTGGTTAATTTATATTTTAATATATTATTAATTAAAAGAATTTTTTTCCCATAAAAGCCACAATTTCCTTTAAGCCCTTTTATAAAATATATTATCACACACGTTGATAATAGGTACACAATTTTGAATAGCTTCACTATAATAAATTAGTTATTTGGGAATTTGGGGATACTTGTAATACAACTAAATACGGTTTTATGTTTTAAATACCTACTATATTTCATTGATTGATATTTTTGGATGTGATTAACTACTAAATATTTTATTTTATTTTTTATACCTCTATAATAACGGCATCAATAGTGAAGATTAGCAGCCAATAAATCTATATTATTTACATATTAATTAAGGATTATATTAAATTAAAATATCACGTCGAGTGTATTACTGCTGGGCAGCTGCTCTAATCACGCATTCACAGCCAGATTTTATATTTCCGTTCATAATATGCTCATTGTAACTATCATTGCAGATTGTATATATTCAGAAAAATATTTAAAAAATATATATTAAATTAGTTAACGGTGATCACTGATCATTGTTTTGTATGCATTTTGGTTACTCTATTGACGGATTTTAATGAAGGTGTGAGGGTTTTTAGCTGCGTTTTTAGAAGTTGATATATGTTATGGTATAATTCGATTTATCGTCGGTATTTGACAATTATGTGTTTAACTGAGATGAGTGTACTGAAAGCAAACCATGAGATGTCCGTATGTGAGTTAAGTGTGGTTGATTAAACTCGTCTTTTCTTGTTATAATGATTGGTTTTGGTCACCGTAGGGTGGACTTTTGATATTTTTATACCTCTAAATTGATTTGGCCATTCAATAATGTGATTGGATTTATTATTATTTTGTGAATCGTAGTCTGATATAAAGGGTCGTAATTCTCAATCGGGGTCAACTGCAGTATGTTCTTGGCTTTTTGGTTATTTCCTAATATTTACAAGTGAAATTTTACAAGAAACCACATCAGAAATGAACAAACATTCTATTTATGCGATCGTTTAATTCGTTGATTATTTTAATGACTGACTGTGGTGATTAAAATTTTCGTGTATGCTGATAAAGTGCTTAGGGAATTGGACAAAATTAAATATTTCTTATCGTCATTAAACTGAATGCTTTGGAAAAATTTTTATCGATTTTTATTGAGTACTTATTGCTTATGTTTCTACTTTAAAAATACTACATACACTATATTATATTTGAAATTTAATAATCTAATAGTTTTATATCGCAGGGAGTCCTGATTATTGAACGATTTTCGATGAGTCAGTATAACTATAATATTATATGTAGGTACATTGGACATACCTATGTTCGTAATCCACTTATGAGTGAAGTATTTCATGAAAAAAAGGCTTTTATAAATATTGTTATCCGTGGTATTTTTATTACAATTAGTTTGGTTAAAGTTGATTAGGTGTTTGTGAAATCAACAATGTGGTATTTAAATTACGTTTTTAATTGCCATTTCGTTATTTACAATGAGAGCTTGTTGTCTTAGTGGTGCAAAATGAGATGAGGTCACGAAATTACAGGGCGCAGTTTTTTAATGATTTTATCATTAATTAGATTTTCTCAATATTTTAATAGGTACCTACTTATCAAGATGTATAATTTTTAATGGGAGGTTCTCCAGCTATGCCCCGTATACTTGAGACTGAACTACCTTTCAAGGTCCTTATTGATAACCGGATACCATTTATATTGTTTTATGTGTAGATCAGCCATACCATATTGTACTATCGAACCATAAGCTCAGGACGGCTATGCATATTTAAATTAAAATTTCCGAATCAGAACCCCATTCAGTATGAGCAAGTGCTTTTTATACCTAACCCTATGTTAAGTGATAAATAAGGCTTCACACTTTTGATTAATTGGTATAATATAGTAAAAATAGCTAAATAATATAATTAAAAATAATAAGACTAATAATTATTATATGTTGGTAACATTTGAGTTTGTCAACGAGTATTAAAACTAGTTAGCATTTAATATCTAATTAGTGTGTTATTTTTAATTACATTTTGGACTTAGTTATATTTCTTTGGCGGGTGTATAATATTCATTCACTAAATACGAGGCGTGTCCAGAAAGAAAGTGTACTGAGGCTCTCACGGCCATAGGGAATATTTTTTTACTATGTTGGCTAGGCTGCCGTATGGCTTTACTCCTAACCTTTTAAACAAGACCAGAACGAGTTCAGTACGTTGAAAACTGTGGTCACACGAATTTTTCTGGTTGAACATGTCGATCGAGTCTGCCACCAAGTGCGAAATCTACGCCGTTATCCGTTACCTTCTTCCAAAGGAAAAATCTCCACATGATAATTTTCTCAAGTCTATTGTTACTGTAGATGAAACTTGGGTTGCACACTATACACCTGAAACCAAGAGACAGTCCGAACAGTGGCGTCACAACACTTCACACTCAACCAAAAAGTTCAAAACCACCATTTGTGCCAAAAAAATCATGGCATTAGTGTTTTGGGACCACAAAGGCATCATTTTGATTGAATATTTACCTCAGGGGGAGACCATCAACGCAGCAAGGTATTGCAAGACTCTAAAAAAATTGAAGAGAGCTATTCAAAATAAAAGGAGGGGTCTGTTAAAGAGCGGAGTCTGCCTGCTGCACGACAACGCTAGACCCCACACGGCCAATATCACGAAGCAATTGTTGGACTCATTTGGATGGAGTGTTTTGAACCACCCCCCGTATGCCCTCGGTCTGGCGCCTTCAGATTACCATTTATTCACTTCCCTGAAGAAGCACATGGGTGGAAAAAAAATTTCAACTGACGAGGAAGTGAAGGGGGCGGTCGACAAGTGGACAAAGGAGGTAATGGCAAAGTTCTACGAGGCTTGCATAAAACAATTTATCTGCCGTCTCACAACCTGCATTCAAAAAAATGGTGACTATGTAGAAAAATAGCACGCAAATATTATATTAATGTAACCACGTTATTTTTTTTTTCAATACATATTTTTAAGCCTACAAAAATTGAGTACACTTACTTTCTGGACACGCCTCGTATTATAAGCGTTGTATTAATGTGTATGAATGTCATCAAAAACGGTCACCCATGCCCGCTATTTCTCGTGAAGTTACATCCCAATACCAACAATAATTATAAAATCTAAATCTTTAATCAGTTTTGCAAAACCAAAATCAAAGTTGACTTACCCTATAGGACCAAGAGTGGTCCACCTCAGTGTCGTAACTGCCAGAGCTATGAACACACCACAAACTATTTTCATCATCCATCACGCTGTGTTAAATGTGGGAGTGACCACTCTTCTGACATTTGCGCTAAAGACAAAAGTTTTCCAAGTGTGTCCATTGCATGGGCAATCATATATCCAGCTACAAAATATGTCCAATATTCAAAGCACTTCTTCAACATCGTAAATCATCTCACGCAAAACCACAAAATTCGAATACTGTATTCACGTCCTCTCATCTCAAAACACACTCTCTCATTCTCAAATCTTCATATGCCTCCATCGCCGATTCCAATAATATCATTATAAGCTAATAGTCACACCAACTATAAGTCATTTACTAAATTTATCTCAGAACTATACGCATTAATAAAATATCCTCTCATTACGCTCCTTACAGCTGTTCTAACTTAAAAACTTATTCCATAGTCCAAGCATTATTCATACCTCATTAACTAAATTAATACAATATTTTTAATCACTGAATTACGTTATCTTTGAATTCTTCATTTCACAGGTTTTCGATCCATATTTATGTCTAACACTATTTTATATTACATAAAATAATATTATGTTCACTATTATTATTTTTTAATGTGCTCTATTTATCTTATGTACATATGTATATATTAAATTGAATAAGTTATAAAAGAATAAAACTCTAAGGTTTGATACAAGACAAGTGAAAACAGTAATATAAGAACGGGGAAAGCGTAGGTAACCGTAACCGCTCTGCTGTATTAGGAGTCGGGTGTACCTAGTCATTGAGTAGGCAATTTACAATATATATGATAAATAAAGTGTCTGAGTGAAGACGGTCTAAATTCTTGGTAGCCAAGGATATCAAACAGTTATTTCAATAATAATCTCAATGTATAATATTATTAGTAATTTACCAACTAGATCCAATTTTATAAAATAACCTCCATGAATGTTAGAGTTCATAGCATTTTTCCATACTACAAAACTTGTTTTTAGACACAAAAAAAACCACACATCATTGTAAAATCAATACATTCATTCGCCACACTCAGAATATAAAAGGTATGGTTATTTTAAAAAAAAACATTGTAATCTAGTAGTTATACGTATAGTTGTGTGTTATAGTAACGCATTTGCATCTTAAGTAACGAACGGACCGAACGGTATTTTAATTAAATTCCACGAATCACGCATTTTTCAATTAGTTACTTTACGGAAGTATTTTTTCAATATAACACTTCTTTTGAGAGATTCAGCAGCAGTCATACTTTGTAAAATAAAAAGACAAAGACATTTTCCTACCCGGTGAAAGACCACAAAATATACACTGTAGGTACATGTTTATTTTATGTTGATTACAATAAAATTAAACAACTTTTAAAAGTTTATAACCATAGTATGGAAAAATTACTTTGAATTACTTTGATTAAAACTTGCTCGTATTATTGACATAAATGTAGTATTTTAAATAGGTACTGTACTTAAAATTTAAACATCTTATACATATATTGTATTATTAATTATTTTCATCGATTTCATAATTATTATAAGTTAATAATAAATGACTTAACATTAACCTCATATAATAATTAGTGCTGACTAATATATACACATATATACTATTGACATAATTTTATTCCCATATTATAAATAAATACTGATGAATAAAATATCTTCAAAATCTACTTAACCATCGTGAGACACCCTGTCTATACGTGCATTGTACTGTATACACGTTTAGTTATAAGCGCACGCGCTGTTTGAAATTTAAATTCATTAAACACTTACTTTTTAGTTTCAAAAGTACTCAAATAATACTTCTGGTAACAAAAAATGAACTTGTTACTGCTTTTTAATGTAGCATTTTACTATTCAACGTAATTTTATTAGTCTTGAAAAGTAACTTCACCCAACTGCAGGGTACTAAAAATCGAAAAGTTTTCCCTTCCACAGAGTATTACAAAGTATGTGGTCATTAAAATATGATAACATAAATTTAACATAATATCGTTATTCGTTAAACAGTGTAAACTATTTTGAAAAAACTTAATAAATATGGTTTTGGGAACCTAAGAGAACGAAGTTTAAAAAAATATTTTATTCATCTAACAGTTAAAATAATTAATAATATGCTGAAGTATTGAATTGAAACTTCTTTACGGAAGGTACAACTCCGAAAAATGTGTAGCAAAATTATACTCCCCACATTTAACAATTAATGTAAAATATTAAGACTGATCGTCATTTAATATATAGGTGCTATAAATTAACTAAATTGATTATAATTATAAATATAAAAACAATTGTAAGTTATAATAATACATTTTAGTGTTTTATATATATTTTGGTATTGTGTTTTTAATACACTGCCTATTACAACATCAAATAGATCCAATGGTTATCTCCTTTGAACTTGAAACTTAAAAAAAAAAAAATGTCTTAAATGAATCTATAATGCAATGAGAGTAAATAAAATAAACAAATTAAGTAAAAGGAATCAAAAACAAAAAAATTATTGTTTGTATCATTAATTTGAACTTAAAACTCTATATGTTTATGCAAGTTCTTGTTGGAATATCGTCAATTTAAAAAAAAAAAGCTAGATAGGCTTCATACACGCTAGATTACCGCACACAGCTTTTTTTTTTAATGTACCAAAATATTTTGCCTTTGGTCGATTCTATATTATGTTGATCTTCGTTGAGTTCATTATTTACATTTTAAATAACTAATACCAATGATGTACAGTTATTGCCGAATACCTACGATATTTGCGCTAGAAACGTAATATGTCACACAGCATAGCATGACTGCACTTCGTAAATATTTTAAATATTTTCCCAACGTCATCTTTTTAAGTATACATGATATTAACTATGACTTCCCACACAAACTATGTTCCAATGGGCTTAAGAAATATTATATTCCCACAAGTAGACGAACCTTCGTTATTCATTTAGGTAATTCAATTCTTAAAAGCACCCGGCTTTCAAATGTTTATTTTTATTGCTTTTTTTTAAAATGCATGGAATCGTATAATAAAAACGCGAGTAAAGTCGTGGGGATAATCTAAACCATTACATTTAAATAAAACTATTTTGATACTTAATATACAAATATAGCTATCTAGTATCCACCTACTTATAGGAAACTGGATAGGTACTAAATTGTTTCTTCTCGCAGAATTAATGCTAATATTATTAATATAATATGTTCATTGTCAATATTATCTAGTCTAGAAATAATGGAGTATAATATTCCTTTAATAACATAACAATTTTTGAAGATTTCATGACGTTCATATAACACACAAACGTATGACGTACATACAAATACACTAACTATAGTGACCTGTTTATACTATGCCTACATATAAAGTTTTTTTATTTTAATATAGAAATTATTTTTTTATTTTTGATGTGAAATCCAAAGTATATTTATAACTTAAATATACCTTAAGTACCAATTGAAAAATTAATAATACATAACTTCATATAATCGCAAAAACTTCAGAAACTATTTACTTTGGGTAACATAATTATGTCATAATTGCTAAACTTTTAAAATTAAAATGATGATTTTCTGTTGCAAAATATTTTAATAACTGGTACAACAAAACAAAAAAGAGTGCTAAAGAGAAAAAGAACTAAAACAATATAATTATAATTCTGCAGAGTCTAATTGGTCTTATCGTTTTTTTTTCTTTACTATTTGTTGAGAAGGAAACAAATATTTTTTAAAGTATTCGCAAAAGGAGTTTATCTCAAAGTATTTAATCTTATAGTCTCATCGATAAATAATAGTAGTAAACATGTAGACCATCTACATCAGCCCCTATGTTTACATCACAAAATCATTGAAACGTGCACAGACATTTATTTGCAAAGCTTTTATACGTCGTTAGTTAAATCTATAACATTATATACCTGTATATATATGTATACATATATTTATTTATATTTATGTTTAAAATGGTGCTACACTGTAATGTGATTGAAACAAAATGTTTTACGTTCTAAAATCAGCTATATCGATTTTTAAATACATAGGGAAAATCTCAAATATTTGCTGAGTCGAATCTCCCTGTTTTCATATTACACGCAATGTACAATATTCAAGCATTTTATCCGCCTTTTTTCCCATACAAATGATTTACGTCGGTCTTCCGCATGTTCTGATGGTGTTTTATCAGTATCACAGTTTACTGAAATTGAATCGACCATTAAGTGTATTTTCCATAGACATTTTAAGTGTTTATCACTTTCTAACCTGATTTTCATGGAGTGTATTTACATTGACAAGTTCAAATAGTTCGATAAACATTGTAAACTGAGATTGTGTTCAACTAACACAAGTATCGCACTCAAAATAGAGCTATTAGTAATTTTTACTATTTTTTTGTTACTTTAACTTATTGTAGATTCCGAGTGGATTGACGAGTCTGTTTTCATGTCATCTTTAAGAGCACAAAAAAATAAAAAAAGCTTTAATCTTAAACTACGAATGTGTTTTCGGAATTTCTGATGGAAAATTTTATCTTGTTGGTACAAGTCAGAAATGCAAAAATATATTTTGGCTCATTTTGAATTATTTAAAGAATATTTTTTTTTATTTGAATAGTTTGAAAATGTATTACAAGGTTTATCATATAAGGCAGTTTTACATCATTCAAAAAATACCAAAAATACTTAAGTAAATTATTTTTATAGACATTCAAAGTTGACATTTGAAGGGACTTGAAGCTTTTCGGGAATATATTTATTATTATTTTCTATAAGCAATGCAATAATTTTCAAAATATTTAGATTACCTAATTTTAAGTTATTTATGCTATGAATCTATTTACACTTTTTACGTTCCGCTGTATTGACTTAATATGTAATGACAATAATATTTGATAGAATACTTTAATAATTAATAATTAAGGATAAAATAATATATTTGGGGTAAACATGATTTAAATATACCACGCTATTAATAGAAACATTAGAAAAAAAATTTCTACTAGCATAGGTTCAAATCATTGATGTCAAATTTAATACAGCCATATTAAAGTTGTACCTACTCAACATCTAACTAAGTATACTTGAAACCTTTACTATACAGCCGAGCAGCGACTTCCCTGGTTTTAGGTTTCCATAAACATAAGTTTAAATACCTATTATATCCCCGTCGTTGTATCCTCCAGTCAGTCAGTTAGTTACCACTTACCAGTGATTAGAAGGTAGTAGATGGTTTGTATCAAGATATTCAATTAAGATTGTAAATATTTAGATAATTGGGTACTTATAAGGTTATACAATATAAATATTTAATATATACCATTCAAAATATTTAGGTTTCCAAATGCCTTTTAAATAATAATTGTACCTATTTGGAATTATAGTTCATTACTTTGTATATTAAAACACACGTTTGGAAACCTAGAAATTAACGCGATTGCCGAGTGAGGTTTTCTAGTTTGTTTTCATTTGTTTTAAATGTAATTTGATTTTGGTATTATATGTTGTCGTTCCGTCTCGCTGGTA